TAGTGGACTCGAGATGAATTGTCTTCCTCTTTGGTAAGGCTATTCATTTGCGGTCAGTTTGCTCTACAAATCAAGAACCTTACAATTATTATCAAACACCAGGATGAGAGAGTTACATCTCTGTGCTTCGGAATTTAATTTAATGTTCGATTGTATCCGACTGTTTTTTTTTCAATACAAATATGCAAATGGTTTTGAAAATGTTACGGGTTGCTTCCAGATAATGGCTCTTGCCATTCGCTTGCATTTATTACAGGATACAGGAACATATACAGTTAACCAGTATGGAACTGTGGTTAACTGTTCCATAACAGTATGGAACTAATTTTAAAAAATAGAATAAAATAAAGTGATAAAACGGGACTCATATGTAACGGAACATTCACATATTACAAAGTGCTTGACCATTCACAGAATCTGCATTTTTAAAATATTTTTTATTAATTTTGTATACGTAAGAACACAAGGTCATGATAAAAAAGGAAGGCAGGGAAAAGTATATAAAAAAAGAGAAATTAAAGTCTCCATAAAGAACATAAATTATTGTAATTATATATTAGTAACAAATAAATTGTATAAAAGCTAGCATGATATTAATTAAAGGAGCACAGTATACTATATGCAGAAACACATATCATGTAGATATCATTTTTTAAAGGGATTAACAGTTTGAATATTTCTAATATTATCAGTAACTGGATGAACCTGATATTTAAATACAGAGTCTCTCTTCAATGTTGCAAGTGAGCTAAAGTTTGTTTGACACCAAACCGCCCTCAGGATAGCTGTAAACTGCTGTTCATTCTTAGTGAGTGCGCCTTACACTTTGTTTTTGACTGGTAGTGAGATATGGATTTCTTGCTCACTGTGACTAAAGGGTTAACTTCCCCATTCCACACTCATAATGCAGAGTCCAAACTGTCTGTGGTTCTTTTATAACTTGTAAGTGCCCTTAGGTGGAGGCCTGTCTGGTATGCTGATACAAGTTCTCTCTGTAATTAAACAATGTGGTTACTAACTAAAATATATGCTTAAATGTCAGTCCATTCATGGACAGTATCTCTATTTTCACTTACGTATTTAAAGTTGCAGTGCCCAATATCTCTTGAAATCTAAAGATCTGTAAATGGCTGCTGATTTCATTCTAGATACTGTCTGTGTATTCATCACATATACAAGCTGCTTTGTATTAGATAACCTTTAATAGAAAACTGATGGTAAGGAAACTGTACAGAGCACAATATAATAATAATTTAGAGATTGTTGCTTAAAAGTGTGGAAAAAGATACCTCTGCCTCTATATGGCTCAAAGTTCTGTAAGAGAGGTCTGCATTGAGTCAAAAAAATGTAAAAAAAGGAAGTGACTGAAGAAAGCCCCAGACTTGGGCTGGTGGGACAGCCGTTCAAGACTCATATAGAACTTTGCTCTCCATTAAAATAAAATAAAGAATATCAGTGGAGAGATGTTTTTGCAAAATGTAACGTGGCCTATAAAATAGTCTGTTTCAGTAGTTCAGGTACACTGATCAATGAATGTGTCTGCAACCAAAAGCAATAATTCACTGCCCTCGTTTTAGTGCATTTACAATCTGCTGTTCCACACATTTTACCAGTAATTATACAGAATATGTTAAATCTCTGAAAGTGTCTTAGCAAGTCCTTGGCTGTACAGGAACACCTACAAAAAAAACTGAGAAAAAGTACTGGGTTTGTGAAGATTGGTTTTATGTAGAGAAAGAGTGAGGATAAACCTTCACATTGTATTTCTTTCTCATGATTAGGCATTAGACTGATTTTCAAGAATGCTATGTTCTTAAACATGTGTTTATTCACTAAACCATGAATTCTCAAGGAAATGTCAAATTCTTCTTTTTTTTTAAGCTTCCCTGCATCTTTGTCCATAGACGTTGTTTTACTAGGAGAAGAATCCAATGTGGTCTGTTCACTGAACAGTTGTATGTATATCTTATCATCAAAACATTTAGAATAGGAGCTATATCAACATGAGTCTATGGGAAATGTCAAGTTCTAAGGGGCATTCTAAGCACCTTAACCACTGCAGCTCATTGAAGTGTTTATAGAAACATAGAAACATAGAATGTGACGGCAGATAAGAACCATTCGGCCCATCTAGTCTGCCCAAGAGGCCTATCAGAGGCAGATACAGGCCCCACATGGCTCTTAGCTGGTACCAGTGTGCCCCCATCAATCAGTATAAGAAAGGTTAATTGGGCCAAGCCTGGCCATGTATCTCTATGGATATTGGCTTATAAACCTGGTAATATGTCCCAAAATGTATGCAAACTACATTTCCCATCTAAGGACTGGTATGGCCATATGGTGTTACCAAATCCCCCTATTTATTTGCTTAGATAGGTGATTTTAAATAATCTTGTATGATTTAAAACTGTAGTTTTTGTGTGTGCACTGCTCTCTTAAAGGACCAGTATAGTACCAGGAAAACATACTCGTTTCCATGGCACTATAGTGCCCTGAGGGTGCCCCCACCCTCAGGGCCCCCCTCTGGCCGGGCTATAGGGTGAGGAAGGGGTTACATTTACCTCTTTCTCCAGCGCCGGGCGGGGGACTCTCCTCCTCCTCGGCAGAATGCGAATGCGCAGCACGAGCCACGCGCGCATTCAGCCAGTCCATAGGAAAGCATTCACAATGCTTCCCTATGGACCCTGGCGTCTTCTCACTGTGAAAATCACAGTGAGAAGCACGGAAGCCCTCTAGCGGCTGTCAATGAGACAGCCACTAGAGGCTGGATTAACCCTATTATAAACAGGGTTAAACCTAGCTGAAAAAAAGGGTTAAACCTAGCTAACCTTTGCATATATTTTGTTAGGTATACCATGCAACATTTGTTAGATACAGTCATATCTGGAGTCATAAAGGCCCCTTAAATCACAATTTGTAGAATTTTTTTTTTTTTTTTAAATAATTAAAACAATCAGTTCAGTGTATATTTGTTAGATTCGAATTTATCAGTTATTTTGTTACATACCTACTGTACTTAACAAGAAATCATCTATTTCCATGAGGGCAACTGACAAGAGATCCACAAATTTCAATAAACAGACGATTGTAACGAGCTGTAGACTGTAAGCTAGTTTGAGCAGGGTCCTATCGTTCCTGTAAGTTTTCTTGTAATTGTCCTATTTATAGTTAAACCCCCCCTCTCATAATATTGTAAAGCGCTACGGAATCTGTTGGCGCTATATAAATGGCGATAATAATAATAATAATTGTAGGATCAACTTAGATCAAATGTTTATGTTTTTATGTAAAAGGTGGTATTTGCGATATTGAGCCCTTGATATAATATGATCTAACAATATTATTATTATAACCCTTGTCAGCCCTCCCATGAAAATAAATTATTTAAAAAGGTTGTAAGTAACAAAACAACATGTTGATGATACATGACTTAAAATTACCTACCAAATTGAATACAATAGTGTGCTATTTTTATGTGCAAATTATTGAGGACATGACTCTAAGGGTGAATTTTTCCATAAAGTGGGAATTTTAACGCTAGAAAGGAGAAAATATGCAAGGTGAAATGGATTTGTGTATGGATATATCTTTACGAGGTAAAAAAAAAAAGGATCAATGTTTAATGGGAATTTGTGTTTACTTGGATAAGTATGTCATTTTAAAGTATGTAGATTCTGTTGTCATGTACATAGCCCATCTTATGACATCATACATATGACACAGTCATTAAGTTACATCATAGTGATTCTCTCACTATATAAAGAGCTTGGCTGAGAAAGTGAAGACATTTGTGTTTAATTGAATCGGACTATATAATCTCAGCAGAAGGTAAGGTACCCCTTATACATGAGAATGGAGCAGGAATTAATATTTGGAAAGTGGAACAATGAACTAAGGTTGCACGGGTAAACGGGTAAAGGAAGAGGGAATTAGTTGTTGGTATGTACATTGCTGACACCAAAAAAAGAAATTGGCATTTAAAGGACCACTATAGTGCCAGGAAAACATACTCGTTTTCCTGGCACTATAGTGCCCTGAGGGTGCCCCCACCCTCAGGGTCCCCCTCCCGCCGGGCTCTAGGGGGAGGAAGGGGTTAAACTTACCTCTTTCTCCAGCGCCGGGCGGGGAGCTCTCCTCCTCCTCTCCGCCTCCTCTTTGGCTGAATGCGCATGCGCGGCAGGCATTTACAATGCTTTCCTATGGACGCTGGCGTCTTCTCACTGTGAAAATCACAGTGAGAAGCGCGGAAGCCCTCTAGAGGCTGTCAATGAGACAGCCACTAGAGGCTGGATTAACCCTAATATAAACATAGCAGTTTCTCTGAAACTGCTATGTTTATAGAAAAAAGGGTTAAACCTAGCTGGACCTGGCACCCAGACCACTTCATTAAGCTGAAGTGGTCTGGGTGCCTATAGTGGTCCTTTAAGCAATAATTGCTGTGCCATCTCCATCAATGTTTCAAATCCACAACACACTAAATGATTCAGGATGTTCCCCCAAAGGCTTTTTATATGTTTCGCCTGACAAGCATTCGTTTCATTCCCTCACACTCATGTCGTTTGGAGTCACAGCAATGATACAATTGAATAACACTATTAAAAGTGGCTCTGTCATGGGGGGCAGGGCTTGGACGCCATACTGAATGGTCGCAGGTTGCATGAGCTCCTGCTTCAAACCGACTAAATAGCAATTTGTGGGACAAAATACCCTAATACCGAAGCTCCTCCAGATGGTACCTTCACCTGGTACAGCTGGGGCAACATTTGGGAGAATTCTGGCACCCTTAAATCAGCTAATCGACAGCTGCGGCCCTCGGCTTGTAGAGGCCTGGTGAATTCCTGGCGGGAGAAATGGTCGATCTCTCAGCCCGGGGCTGCCTGGCCCTTCTCTTGAGTGGATACTCAGAGCCCCATTCTCCCCCCCCTTTGGGCCGGCGGGGGTTATCCCGGCCTACACCAAACAGGCACTTACCTCTCAATCGACACAAGGCCTTTTACAAAATGGCTGAGGACAACGACAGGTGTGATGAGCAGACGATCCAAGATGGCTGGATGGCAGGAATCCTGCACCGGTTCGACACCATGTGCCGAAAATTCTGGGAGGGATGGGAGAAAAGGCGACAGCCACCTGCACCTCCTAGGCCTGAAATACAGTCTCCAGGCAGAGGTTCGGTTCGGCGCCCCCTTCGTAGGCGGCGAATCAAGAGGGCCCGAGCGCCCACCCGTGGTCCACGCACCAGAGCGGTACAGCCTTGCCTGGATACCCGCGCTCAATTGCATCAGAGCCTACCACGAAAGTTTGAAGCTCCACATTGGAGGAAGGATCCCCCAAGACATCTGCTCAAACGGCATGCACAGCCCAAGCAACGGACAACGAGGATGCAGAGGTCCACCAGGAAGCACCCTCAGAGAGCGGTACTGCCTAAAGACTGGCTGACAACAACAGAGCTCCTGCACTACCACCAGGCACCTGCTGGATATGCCCTGAAACAGCTCACTGGGAGGCTTGCACACCACCTGCCACGTGGGGGCATCAGCTGAGATGGGCCACTTGACAGGACTCATGGGACTTTTGGTGACCGTGCCTACCTATGGGATACACTGAGACTGCCACCGGTAGCCATTGTTATAGAGGGGCTGCCTATGGGGACTAAATTACACTAGCCGACTACACTAGACACACACACCACTGTCGAGATGAGAGGCACATGGCTAGTCCTCTGATTCCTGCTTAACCCTACTGACAAGTAGTCTAGCCGGTACCCTCACACAAGCGATGAACCCACAACTAGCTTGAACACAATACAATATAAAGCATACCATATGACAGTTAACCAACACATGTTTACCTTGCAACTGTTGATGCATGTATGTCACACTAGTATTGTTATTAGTCTCAATCTAAAAAAAAAAAGGGATCCTAGAGGGAGCCTCCTGGGACACTCAGGTCAGGCACAGCCAGAGCTCAGAGATTTAACCTGAACCCACTCTCTAAGCATTTGACTGCATCAAACTCTAATGTCAGCTAATATAACCTGTTGATGTTCATACTGCATGTTTTTAATCCCCTGACATAATTAGAACCACTGTAATGTTTACTGTCTCAAGCTTGACAACCCCATCGTGACCCACCGCAACAGACATACAAAGCTAGCCTGTATTTAGCATGTTTAAAAACTTTAAAGTGTTCCCAGTCTGTTATTTTTCTCATTAAAAGAAATGCTGTTTATTTCTGCCATTACAATGGATGCCATTGAATGTTTTCATTTCCTTATGCCCCTTGTATCGAAATGAATGTACTCCCTTGCTTTTTTCCTTACACCATATCTCACAATACCTGGGTGCCACCAAATTGTTCTCCTCTGTGGGCGATGTCCCTCTGTGGGATTCTTTTGACTGATAGCTTGTATGTAAATTATCTTAGCCACTGAAATAGAACTTTAGTTTTGCCTTTCGTTTGGGCCAACAGGAAAAATAGTTGAAAGAAAGGCTGAACTTGATGGATGCAAGTCTTTTTTCGGCTATGTAACTATGTAACTATAACTTCTGCTCATTTCCAAAGTTTGCAATAGATTGCACTTCCAGTAAGAACTAGTAGTCTTTATTTTATCCTATGAATAACTAAAATACTATGGTGAATCTACATACATTTGTTGCCACAAATACACGTGAACATACAAGGGACAAGGACAGAGTAGTGGGTGACAGGAGATGAAACATTTTTCATAGATTACATAGTAGTTTGTGGACTACATTAACGTGACATTCAGCCAACTATAAGCCCAGTTTAGCATTATGGAGATTTGTCCACAAACATTTAATGTGCTATGGTTAATCATCATCCTTAATGCATTCAACTGCCACACCTACACACAAATACACCCCTGCATTTAAACTCCAAAACTACACTCAAATACTTAAAGAGACACTATAGTCACCCAGGCCACTTCAGCTCAATGAAGTGGTCTGGGTGCCAGGTCCCTCAGGTTTTAACCCTTCACATGTAAACATAGCAGTTTCAGAGAAACTGCTATGTTAACATTAGGGGTTAATCCAACCTCTAGTGGCTGTCTTCCTGACAGCCGCTAGAGGCGCATCTGCGACACTGGATGCGAAATTCGCATCCAACGTGCAGAACGTCCATAGGAAAGCATTGAGAAATGCTTTCCTATAGACAGTTTAAACGTGCCGCACATGTGCATTCCGCTCCACTCGGGAGCTGACATCGGCAGGGGAGGAGAGGTCACCAGCGCTGAGCGAGCATGGGGCTGGATTAAGGTAAGCTTCTGAAGGGGTTTTAACCCCTTCAGAGCCATGGGAGAGGGACCCTGAGGGTGGGGGCACCTTCAGGGTACTATAGTGTCAGGAAAACCGCTTTGTTATCCTGACACTATAGTGATCCTTTAATGCATTCAGATGTCAACCTGCTCACAAATACACCCCTGTATTCAAACACCACCACTAAAAACAAATCCTTAATGCATTCAAATGCCAACACTACATACACATGCTGCCACACGCTTTTATTTTCATCAAGCTTTCTAATCTTTTTAAAAAGTAGGGTTAATAAGAATGTGAAGTTTTAAATACTAGGAGATATTGGATGAGGGTAAGTGGTCAGGGAGGGCTATGGCTGGGGAGGGGGATTTTTTGCACGGGGCAGCTAAAGGCCTGAGAACACAGCATATCGGCGTGCAATTTACACCTTATAATAATACAACAGTAAAAAAAAAAATGAATTCAAGGTCAATGGTTACTAAGTAAGATGGGAAGAAGAGAAAAATAGATGGAGTGTGACATGCATAATAACACAGATACTCCTAAGCAGATACACACATCAATAAACCAGCTGAAAAATAACTATAATGAATATTGAACTCCATCAGGAAAACGTATCACTTTCCTAATATAAACGTACACAAAGTCAAGTTACCATGAAAGAAATAAGAAAGGAACCATAGATCAATAACATGTCATCCATGCTAGTGATGTCATTACTAAAACTAACTGGAGAGATGACAACATGCCAATATCCTGATTTATCAAGTGGCTCAAGTACACAGCAAAACGTGGGAAATTGGTCAGACTGCTGACCCTTAAATCCTACTCAAGGGTTTAATATCTGTGCGTCACATTACATAAACACTTTGTATTAAAGAGAATCTGAAAAAAGTCAAAATCAGACGCATTACAGTAACAAGAAGAAATAAAACTGTCTGACACCGTACTTTAAATGGATCGTCGGAATAAAGACGATGATTTTACAATATTCTTTCCAGATGAGTCAATGAAATTTCAGGACCATCTATTGGCTCGTCTGAGTTACAGCAAGGATATTATGAAATTTTGGCCCGTTTGTGGGTCCTTTGGACCGGTGGGGGTTATCCCGGGCCCCACTGGGCACGCTACATACCTGCACAGCTTGAAATCGGTAGAGTTTCAGACCGATTGGAGGATCGAAAATGGTCGCCATGCGGAGTCATTCCCTACAGCAGGCAAGCCTGGAGAAACTGGACTGGGTGCAGAGCTTCGAGGCCCGATTCAAACAACTATGCAGAGATTTCTGGACCCGCACAGCCAGCAGCTCCAATATCCCTAATTCACCTGCCCAAATATTGCTGATGTAGTACACCGAGCAGATTAATGTTAAAGGTTGGAGGTTATTGCCAAAGGCGTACACAGCATGTTGTATTAGGGTGTGCACCCATGATAATTCAATATTGTTAGCGTAGAATTACTATGGGTGTACACAGGCAACAACACGCTAACATGTACACATATGCGCACACGATCACATACGTACACATGTATGTAGAGACGCACTCATGTGGACCAGGGGCTGACTGATAAACTTTTTATTTTTAAAGACAATTTTTATTGTAAATGCAAAATATAATTGACATGTCATGCGTGGTAGCATTAATGATAAATCAAATAGAGTACATCAGCAATGTTTATAGTGCATATGGAATATTTTACATTCACATTTATAACAGGCATATAAAATCAAAACAGGGGGGGAAAGATAAAACATATGTCCAGTCCATCAAAACTGTGAGTAATTCTCAGTCCGCACAGCCACAACAGAGCCCCAGAAAGCAGCAGAGCAACATTCCACTAGGTATTGTAAGGAGTGTTAAATCCCACAGTAGTTATTATATGGAGGTTAGTGTGTTATAGTTATCACATCGCTTAGTGAGATATTAGGAAAAGCTATGTAAGACCTTTGAAGAGGGGAGGAGGGAGTGGGTATGTTTCCTGTGGGCCACAAGTTAGGGATGAAGTTTATCCCCTAGATACCTGAGTAGCTCATTGTATCATTACCTACTATTTAAGAGGGCCAAGCAAGGCAAAAATATAATCCAGTGTGACCACATAGACAACACCAAAGCCACCAGCCTGTGACATGGCACCACAACCAGCATCGTATTTAGATAACCATATCCTGTTACAATTGAGAGTATACTGGTATGTTGCTAAATCAGGGCTCGACAAATCCCAGGCGCCAGATCGCCATGACGACTAAAATGTTTGCCCTGGCCCCTTGGATTTGTCAGCGTTTTATCTAAAATGCCCGGCTGGACAAATAATGGAGCCGGTCGTCCACCCGCGGGAGCATGTAGGTGGCCGGCTCAGTGAGCATTGTAGCTGGCCACCCTGAGCTTCATGGAGGCAGCCGGTTAAGTGAGCATTGTAGCCGGCCGCCCTGAGCTTCATGGAGGTGGCCGGCTGAGTAAGCGTTGTAGCCAGCCGCCCTGGGCTTCGTGGAGGCAGCCGGCTGAGTAAGCGTTGTAGCCAGCCGCCCTGGGCTTCATGGAGGCTGCCGGTTAAGTGAGCATTGTAGCCGGCCGCCCTGAGCTTCATGGAGGCGGCCGGCTGAGTAAGCGTTGTATTAAAAATAATTGTAAGGTGGGAGCACCTAGCTGGTTCCAGACTTGGAGGATAGTTTGCGCCCAACAATCTTTCGTTAATTAGGAGATGACCCAGCGTGGGTCCCAACAACAAAAATTCAGGAGAGATTGGCACAGTAAACATATTCCCATTGTCAAGTTATAGCTTCACTCCAGTCCAAAATGATTGGATTAGAGTGCACTCCCACAGATAGTGATATAGGTCAGCTCTTGCATGTGTACATTTGAAACAGGTCACGGATTCTCTCCTAGCCATAAAATGAAGTTTATATAGGAGAATAGTAAACTCAATGTAAGGTTTTAATGCACATGTCCCTTCAATTTCCCCATATCTCTATCTTAATGGTTTTCCCAGTCAGTAGTTGTAAAAGTCTGCGTGATAGTATGGTAATAGTGATGTACTTGAATGTAAGTGAACCATGGAAGTGGAAGGCCTGGGAAACGATCCCTGAGCTCTGCGATCGTTAAAAATTTCTGACCATTGTAATAAACAAATGAGCAGAGAGCCCACAATGAAGTGGTCTGAGTGTCTATAGTTATTATTATTTATATAGCGCCAACAATTTCCGTATCGCTGTACAATGGGTGGACTAACAAGCATGTAGTTGTAACCAGACAAGTTTGACGCACAGGAACAGAGGGGTTGAGGGCCCTGCTCAATGAGCTTACATGCTAGAGGGAGTGGGGTAAAGCGACACAAAGGGTAAGGGTAGGAGTAGAGATGTAGAGTTGTAGAATCCCTTTATGATTTACTTACCACTAGAATCCTAAAATATTACTGCTTTTCTCCTTAACATCAAAGGTTTATTCAAGGAGATTTTGTCTCCCACAGCTGGATTACTTATTAGGGACTTTTAGTCATTTTATCTAGTTTTTAATTTAGTAGATAGGTGCCCTCAAAAGCACAATGGCACTAGGGCAGTGGTTCCCAAATCTAGTCCTCATGGCCCACCAGCAATCCAAGATTAATTTTTTATTCCAATGGAGATACTGATAAAACCTGGAATGTTGATGGAACTTGCGGACTGGTTTGGAAAACACTGATCTAGGATTATTATGTAGTTTTGTTTCCAGTTTATAATCTGTTTTATTTACACGTAGGTGGCTTGCTTACTCCTGGGTCTTCTATTTATCAACTGTGTGATGTATTTAGTTATTGTAACATTATTACTTTAGACATTTAGTCCCTGGAGATTCTGTTTCTGCTATTTAATGTATTTGTTCCGAAAACTATTGCAACAGTTTATTTGATAGGTGTTATACTTTGGCTCATGCACAATTGTGTTTGTTAGTGATATGTTTACGTTTGAGGCCATTAACAGCACCATTTTAGTAGCTGTGGGAATTTTAGAATCAATTATATATTTTATATACATATGTTTTAACTATCACTTTGGCAGTATAGTATAGTATAGATTTTATTTGTCCCGTCTAGGCCGTTACGATACTTACATCTATCTTCTGTCCATACACCCCACCTCTGATGCTCGCCTTCAAGATTTCTCGAGGGCTGCACCGTTCCTATGGAACTCGCTTCCCTCCTCCGTTAGATGCTCACCCAGTCTCCACTCCTTCAAAAAAATCGTTAAAAACCCACTTCTTCATAAAAGCGTATCAATTAAACTGTTAATAGCTCCTGACTGATTCCTCTTCTGCAACTGTCACTAGTCTAATACTATCCTTACCTTTTTGTGTCATTTTACCCCACTCCCTCTAGCATGTAAGCTCATTGAGCAGGGCCCTCAACCCCTCTGTTCCTGTGTGTCCAACTTGTCTGGTTACAACTCCATGTCTGTTCGTCCACCCATTGTAAAGCGCTGCGGAATTTGACGGTGCTCTATAAATATCATAATAATAATAATAATAATAATTTGTAGTTCTGAATAAAAGTTACATTTTAATCCCATCCTCTCTGTTGGTCCATCTACTAAGAACCTACCTCTTAATCTTATTAAACTGGTTATAGTGTCTGGAGTGCCCTGGTACAATCATTTCATTCAGCATTAAACAGTTTTAATAGTTTTTATTTTTTAATGCTAAATGACAGTCCCAGCAACCCATCACCTTTGTGCTGCTTTGGCTAATGAGGAAGTATTTGCTTGAGCAGTAATTGGTAGCTGTGATAGGCTGACAGTGTCATCTGACTGCATTTAAGCTATCAGAGCTCCAACTGACAGGATGCATAGGTATGACAACAAGGAAGTGTGCGATCACTACTTTAGCCACACCTCCAGAAGGGGCTGGACTGTGGGTGGCAAGGAAACTGTATTTAATGTTAAACTGCTCAAACATGGTTAAGCACAGAATAGAGGTTGCCAGGTGTCTTTAAGCACTATAACCAATTCAATGATATAAAAAGGTTATAGTTACTACAGTGTCTCTTTAAGAGTTAGACGCTCTCTGCATTAAAATATGTATGGCAGTGCAGGCCTTAGCTGTGTTCCTTTAACAAGCTAGAAAATGGGGTAGGATGGCATTACTTTGTATACTGCTTTTACAGGTAGAGCAGAGGACAGAAAATTGACCAGTGGATTTTTTGGAGAGCTAGAAAATCTGGATACACCAGTATACATACCAAATCATCTTATAGTGATGGGCCAACAAATACATTGACCACCATTCACATACCTCTTATGTTCAAACAAAACAAACTGACACCACAGTGTGCATGTGAATGTAGTGATTAGCAAGTATGTTACATACTTATCTATCGAATCAAAAGGGACAACCTCCCAAATATCACGTCCCAGGAGAATATCTTATATTAACCAATGTACAAACAAGAAAAACACATGGGATGCGGCTGTTAAATCTAAAAAAAGAACATAAACAAAATATAGTGTAATACAATTTTAAATTAGAAGGGTGTGCTGTAAATGAGTGCACTCACAAGATGAAGATATGTCATGCACTCAAGGGTGCCTCTCCAGATGTTGCTAGGGGGCTGTAAATCCCTGTCTTCAATCTGTATATGCCGCTAAGAGCCAGGACTCCAATTGATGAAAGTAAAAAAAAATCAGCAGCTTTATTGCAAATTAAAAAGTAGAATAAACACCTATATAATGCTATAAAAACAGCAATAGATGGTCCTACGCATTTCATCCCAGACTTGGAACTTCCTCAGGGACCTTAAAATCAAATAACAATAACAAATATTGAAACAAAGCAGCCTAACAAACCCCACCAACAAGTCTCTTTAAATAGGGCTAATCACTATGTCCATTGGTGGTTCCGTGGACGCTATCTTTCATCTGTGGTCTTGATTGGTTCAATTGCAGCCCCTATTCATCTGTAGGTGATCCAAAATAATTTCCCCTCACCTCGGCCAAAATTCAGTCACCTGTTGGTAACTGGATGTGCATTCCACTTAGTACTTCCGTGTTCTATTGACTGTACCCTTGTACCATAAAAGCCAATATGGCGGTGCGTTCCACCGTGGAATGAATGAAACAATATGTGTCCATCTAGTGGTCGCCAGAAGAAATGCATGGTAGGAAATAATTGATAGACGGACAAACACATTGTATATCTGCCTCAAGAGAGATGATGTTATTATCATATATTGAGCTTGGATAATGGTATTCATGAGTTTAAAAAGAGGGTACAGTAAACAATCAAATATAATATCGTATTAATTATAACCATATTTATTCACCCATTATATTTCTAATGATATTTAAAGTGAAGCAATTAAAATAATATTATAGTGACAAGTACATTAGTAGTATAAAATAAGAAGTAACATTATTGAAAATATATGTTCTTATAACAATTCTTATAACCATTTTATATGATCAACTCACATAACTATCCTTATACACTATTTAGTTGTCGCTTAACATAATCTAACACCTACATAATATTGAATACCCCTACTATCATGATATACCAGAATGCTTATTTAAAGGGGAACATTGTATTTTCAGAAAAAAAATGCTACCCACCAGGGGGCTTCAGTATCTGTCTGCATTATCCTGCTACCTGACTCCTTGCGTGGATGGAGCAGTGCTGATCCACCTGCAGCCCCTTACCAATTAGGGTCAGCTGCTCCTAATCAGCAGGCTGTAAAAGCCAGCTCTGCCTGAGGCCTGGTATCTGGTCATTTTGTTTGTTTGGTGTTTCCTGTTGAATCTTAGTTACTCTGCTGACTGATTTCTTGGACTCTGACCTCTGCCTGCCTTACTGACTACGTCACTCCGCTGCCAGCTTCTCGTCTGGCCCTGCCTTTAGATTACCCCTTTATCTGTACTGTGTTTTTGGTTTTTGCCTCCTCCTTGTGCTATCTCCTGCAACTGGGCTCCAACTCCTGTTAACCCGTTAACGCCGTTACGGCATTCTATGCCGTCCCGCATTAAGTGGGCTTTAAAGGACATAGAACGCCGTAACGGCTTTGAGCCCCTGGAGGTCAGTGGTACTCACCTCCGCCGCAATCCTCTTCTGGAGGGCTGCCTGACAGCCCAGGCAGCCCTCCCTCGGCAAATGAGGCCCCCGGGGGCCATGTGATCGCTCTCAAAGAGCGATCACATGGCCCCCTATAGCTGGCTGTGGATCTGCCAGCAGGGGGACTGTCTAAAATGTCAGACAGTCCCCCTGCTGGGAGGAAAGTAAAAAAAAAAGCATTAAACAGGTTATAAAATAAAATAAATGTATTTATATACAGGGAGTGCAGAATTATTAGGCAAGTTGTATTTTTGAGGATTAATTTTATTATTGAACAACAACCATGTTCTCAATGAACCCAAAAAACTCATTAATATCAAAGCTGAATATTTTTGGAAGTAGTTTTTAGTTTGTTTTTAGTTTTAGCTATGTTAGGGGGATATCTGTGTGTGCAGGTGACTATTACTGTGCATAATTATTAGGCAACTTAACAAAAAACAAATATATACCCATTTCAATTATTTATTATTACCAGTGAAACCAATATAACATCTCAACATTCACAAATATACATTTCTGACATTCAAAAACAAAACAAAAACAAATCAGTGACCAATATAGCCACCTTTCTTTGCAAGGACACTCAAAAGCCTGCCATCCATGGATTCTGTCAGTGTTTTGATCTGTTCACCATCAACATTGCGTGCAGCAGCAACCACAGCCTCCCAGACACTGTTCAGAGAGGTGTACTGTTTTCCCTCCTTGTAAATCTCACATTTGATGATGGACCACAGGTTCTCAATGGGGTTCAGATCAGGTGAACAAGGAGGCCATGTCATTAGATTTTCTTCTTTTATACCCTTTCTTGCCAGCCACGCTGTGGAGTACTTGGACGCGTGTGATGGAGCATTGTCCTGCATGAAAATCATGTTTTTCTTGAAGGATGCAGACTTCTTCCTGTACCACTGCTTGAAGAAGGTGTCTTCCAGGAACTGGCAGTAGGACTGGGAGTTGAGCTTGACTCCATCCTCAACCCAAAAAGGCCCCACAAGCTCATCTTTGATGATACCAGCCCAAACCAGTACTCCACCTCCACCTTGCTGGCGTCTGAGTCGGACTGGAGCTCTCTGCCCTTTACCAATCCAGCCACGGGCCCATCCATCTGGCCCATCAAGACTCACTCTCATTTCATCAGTCCATAAAACCTTAGACAAATCAGTCTTGAGATATTTCTTGGCCCAGTCTTGACGTTTCAGCTTGTGTGTCTTGTTCAGTGGTGGTCGCCTTTCAGCCTTTCTTACCTTGGCCATGTCTCTGAGTATTGCACACCTTGTGCTTTTGGGCACTCCAGTGATGTTGCAGCTCTGAAATATGGCCAAACTGGTGGCAAGTGGCATCGTGGCAGCTGCACGCTTGACTTTTCTCAGTTCATGGGCAGTTATTTTGCGCCTTGGTTTTTCCACACGCTTCTTGCGACCCTGTTGACTATTTTGAATGAAACGCTTGATTGTTCAATGATCACGCTTCAGAAGCTTTGCAATTTTAAGAGTGCTGCATCCCTCTGCAAGATATCTCACTATTTTTGACTTTTCTGAGTCTGTCAAGTCCTTCTTTTGACCCATTTTGCCAAAGGAAAGGAAGTTGCCTAATAATTATGCACACCTGATATAGGGTGTTGATGTCATTAGACCACACCCCTTCTCATTACAGAGATGCACATCACCTAATATGCTTAATTGGTAGTAGGCTTTTGAGCCTATACAGCTTGGAGCAAGACAACATGCATAAAGAGGATGATGTGGTCAAAATACTCATTTGCCTAATAATTCTGCACTCCCTGTATATATAATATATGTACATATAAGTACATATATTAGTATTAAAATACACTTAGAATGACGTTACATATATATAATATATATATATACATATACACACGTATAATTACAATAATAAATAAATAAAATAATAAAATAAATAAATAAATATTGAAACAAAATTTAATATAAATTATATATTCATATGTAATTTAATTCTAACTGTATTTTGTTATTAATATATATATATATATATATATATATATATATATAGGTAACAAAATACACTTAGAATGACATTCTATATTTATCTATCTATATATAAAATACAAATAACCGCAAATATATATATATAGATAAATACATATAATTACATAAAAGATTACATTAGTATACACATAGAATTTAAGTACCTATAAATGCATATATATTAAAATTCTACATGTATATTTAAGTAATCTTTTAACATAATTATGTGATTTGATTAATTCAAATTTGATTGACATGCCTGACAACACAGGGAGAAAGTGCAGAGAATTTAATTCGCAAGCACTATATTTGACCCTGAAACTCTCCAAGACACCATATAACCTGTACATAGGGGGTACTGTTTTACTCAGGAGACTTCGCTGAACTCAAATATTAGTGTTTCAAACTGGTAAATTGTATTACAACGATGATATTTT